AGAGAGGAGAGAGGAGAGAGAGGAGAGAGGAGAGGAGGGGGAGAGGAGAGGGGAGGGAGGAGGGAGAGAGGAGAGGAGAAGAGAGAGGAGAGAGAGGAGAGAGGGGAGAGGGGAAAGGGGATAGGGGAGAAAGGGAGAGGCGAGAGACAAGAAGGGGAGAGAGAAAATACAGCCACTGAATTATAAATCAAAGAATGAGACTTCAAGGAGAGCTTATCTTTTGGACTGGTAAAGTGAATGAAAATGACAGATTTCAAAAAATCCTCAAATGTACCCCAAAAGACCCAATCAGATAGGAGAATAGTCCTGCATTCTTATAAGGTTTCTTAACAAATTTCTCTGTGTTAGCACTGAAATACAGAAAGCCATAACACTGGCAAATGAGAAATGATGGGGTTTGTTCAGTGGGAGTATATGAACTTATGAGCCCTTATGAATTTCATTTTAGACATTTATGATAGCGGTGCTCTGGACCAGTTCACAGAAAAGGACTCTCATAAACAAAAAGGGGTAAATGTACTGTTGGGAATTGAGAGCCTTCCTTTTTTTCAGTAATATATAGCTCGTTACGCAAATAAGCATTTTACTTAATATCAATACTTATACCACTTAGGAGCCATTAGAGTAACTTCATCCTATAATGAGGGTCTGCTATAAGCTCAAAGAACATCTCATTATTTGACTTTGAGGCACAGAAAGTTATTTCAACTTAAGCAGTCAGTAACCACCACATAGTAAAGGCATAAAAGCTTATTCAGTCTTTGCGGATTTATAAAACAATACAGCAAGATCTAGTACAGATTGTTCAGTGTTAAGCAAAGCCCTCAACTGACAATGAAGTGAATCATTTTAAATAAAGCACAACATTTGCTTTCTAATGTCTTGAGTGCTAAATTAACTGAGAGAAAAGCAGAGCACACAGTGCTTTCACACACCCAGTTCTGTATATGATTCTCTGTTCCTTGAGAACATTACCAAGTTTTTCAACTTCTTTCCTCAGCTACCTAAAGGGAGAACAGTTATTAATTACTTACATTAACAAGAGATTCCTTAAATTTGATGTGAAGTCTGTAATTAGAAAGGGCAATGATGGCATCCTCAGCACGGCCCACATACTCTGTGCTCTCTCCATGAAGCTCCAGGAAAGGAACCTTCAACATGGAAGAAGAAATCCTTCTGAGTTCTGAAGCAGTAAAGCAGTTTTCAAACATGGATCACGTGAATGGTTGGTAAACCTTTTGTCATCCAAGTTTAAAGCAAGTGAGTAAGGGACCTAAAAAGTTTATACATATTTAATTCAACACCGAGTTATGAGAATTCTAGATAGAGAAATAGCAATGACAGAGAAAATCACCTCAAAAAGTTAATTCTCAGAAAATAAACGCCAGCTCATATTTTATGTGCATTCTGTAGGGAAAAAAAATACATAACTATATGAGGCATCACTTCAACTCATTAGCTTTGCTACATCATTACTATCACATAATTGAAAGTATCCTTAATTACCTGAAGATTCTCATCCTCTCTAATCAGCTGCTTCCTGGGAAAGATCTGATTGGCCTGGATGCACTCAAGACTGTGCCGAGTCTCTTCATCCTGTAAACAGCCAAAAATCATTAATTTTAAGACTTCTGGTCATCCATATTGTTTTTATGCCATGCTTACTTACATAATCCTAACAAATCCAATGACAAAGGTGAGCAGGCAGAAAAGCTCAAGTAAAACATACTTATTTCAAAAGTGTACCAACCCAGTATGTTAGATGTTATGTGTTTCCAAATAGATTAATATACTAGGTGCTACTAAGTGTCCCTCAAAGGTCCCTATATTAAGGGGTTGGTTGTCAGTCTGGCATTATTGGAGAGGTGGTAGGCCTAGCAGGAAGATGATGCGCCACTGGGAACTTCCCTTAGAGAAGACAGTTGTTAAGGCTGGTTTTAAATTCATTTTGTAGCCCAAACCTCCTGGATGATGTTTAAAACTCATGCATGGGCCAGTATGGGGGCACAAGCCTGGAATCCCACCACTCGGGCTGAGGTAAAAGGATCACAAATTCAAGGCTAGCCTGGCCAATCTAGCAACTTACTGAAATCCTGTCTCAAAATTAAAAAGTTATGCAGGGATTCATTGAAAGTAGAAGACAAGGGCTAAGAATGTAGTTCAGTGGCAGAAAGCTTACCTAGTATGTTCTAGGCCCTGGATTTCATCCCTAGGCATTCCCCCCTCCCCCAACACACACAAAAAGAAAAGTAGTACAAGACAGATCAATAGTTTAATGTAAATACCAAAAGTTCACTGATACAAGCTTGGATTCTACCCTGCAACTAACCTTTAAACACCTACCACTAGTCAAGTTTTGGTGTAGTGTTTAAAAAAAAAAAAAAAAAAAAAAATTTTTTTTTTTTTTTTTGGTACCACAAAAAAAAAAAAAAAAAAAAAAAAAAAAAAAAAAAAAAAAAAAAAAAACAATTATCTGAAAAAACTGTTACAATGTTCTTTCCTTTTCTAACTTTCTATCTCTTTGAAGCTGGATTTTCCTCATATATTTGAAATAAAATAACATACTGTTACAGACTGAATGCAACAAAGATAAGAATCCAACAGATTTCTAAGCCAAGCACTTAAAGAGATATGGAAAGTAGCCAGGTGTGGTGATGCACCCCAGTAACTTTTACACTCAAAAGGTTGAGTCAGGAGGCCTGGGCTACATAAGAGTTCAAAACCAGCCTTAACTAGAGACTCTGTCTCAAAGCAAAACAAAAGAAAGATTTCAAAAGGGTAAAACAGCTGCTGTGCCAGCCCCACCTCAGGGGCACGCTGAGACGGCAATTGAGACTGGGCATGGTGGCACGCAACTATAATCTCAGCTCTTGGGAGGCTGTAAACAGGCAGATCACTACAAGTCCGATCTAGTAGTGAGACCCTGAACACCCTGTAGACTCTTCCCTAAAATACAAAAAAAAAAAAAAAAGGTGAAACAAATACAGTTATTTTGGTTGAGAAAAAGTTTTTTTCAAATGTATTACTTATATGCTAACATATAATTGGTCTGTTACTATTATTTTCAAATAATTTTATGGACATTTTAAGGATTTCTCAGCTTAGATCTACAATACAGTAAATACAGGAAAATACGCAACTCCTCTTGGATGTCCTCAATAATTTAAGAATGTAAAAATAAAGACGGGGCACGGTGGCACACGCCTGTATTCTAAGTGCTTGGGAGGCTGAAAACAGTAGAATCACTACAAGTCTGAACCATATAGCAAGACCCTGTAACAAAAAAAAACCAAAAAAACATTTAAGTTAATGTTACTTCTCCATTACTGCTAGAGATTAACCATGATTGTTAAGAACTATAGCTGACAGGGGGATGTGGTGATTCATGCCTATAATCTCAATATTCACAAAGGTGAGGTGAGCCAGGAGAACTGCTTTGAGTTAAAGGTCAGCCTGACTACAAAGCAAGTTGTCTTAAAAAAAAAAAAAAAAAAAAAAGAGCCAGCCAGATAGCTCAGCAGATTAAAACGCCTGCAAGCAGGTGCAAAGGCCAGCAGTTCAGTCTGGGTCTGCAGTGTGGGCCCCGCCCCCAGGGGATACTGAAAAGGCAATTGAGACTGGGCATGGTGGTACACACCTGTAATCCCAGCACTTGGGAGGCTGTAAACAGGAGAATCACTAGGAGTCCAATCTAGTAGTGAGACCCTAAACACCCTGCAGATCCTTCCCTAAAGTATCAAAAATTATATATATATTTATATTTATATATATATATATATATATAATATAGAGAGAGACATATAACAATTTTCAGAAACAAAATTATGAAAGTCTTGTCAGTTTCTCATACAAACAAAACAAAGTTGTTATATTTTAATAAAGCTGGTATCATACAGGTTGGGGTTCTTTGAAAGTATTATGATTATCCAAGTATACCAAGGTTCGGTCATGGCTCCAATTCTATAATCACCAAAACATGCTTGCTAAAAATGTTCTGTCAATCTGTACCATTTTATCCCTTTCTACTCATTTTCTCTAAGGTCAACAAATGCATGAAGAAATGAGAAGTCATGGGGGGGGTGTCTTTTTTTAAAGGAATCAAATTTTCTCTTATAAGTACACGGTTTTTTTAAAAAAAGCCACCCAAAAACCTAATTTCATTTTTGAGTATTTGCACTTAAAGAGACCTAAAGAGAAATGATGTGGTGAACCTTGAATTTAGGACAGTTTTTTTCACATATCATGGAGGATAGGTAGGAAATGCTATAGAACCTAGTGGGTAAGGAGCTTTAAAGATTCTTACAAACTCTAAACTTCTCAGCATCACCTCAACTAGCTTTTAAACTCACATGAATGTATAAGGCCTGAACTTTCATTTTTACAGATTTGTTCATTATTTCTCTACTCAGTTTTACACTGGGTCAGAATTTAATAGAACAGCTCAAAATGGAAATACTGTAGCAGAGAAGTGGGAAAAGAAGGAATAAGGAAAGGAAGAAAAGTGTGGGAGTAAAGCAGAGGGGTGAGAACAGAGAGAGGAGAAAAAGGAAAAGTGGAGGGAGGGAAAGAGGGAGAAAGGAGAAAAAAGAAAACGAAAAATGAGAGAAGCCATGTATTTACCTACTCATTCTTGCTAGAATCCGCACTTTGATGCTAATCCTGTCCAATATACAGGTAACCAAAGAAGCTACCGAAACTGAAAATGGAACGAATGATTTTCAATGTAAGAGAACTGAGAATTAGGCCAGCCAGAGCACTTGTTTTATTTTGTTTTTTTTACAATCTAATCAAATAAATATTCTTTTACAACATACTATCTCAGTTTGTGTTACCTGTAAAGCTTAAAAAATGTTTCCCTTGTGCATAAAAAGAACTTAATTCCCAAAGATTAACATTAGGACTAACTTCCTACAAGGCTGATTGAAAAAATACTTGATTAAAGAGCTGAATTTGGCAGTTAAATTAACTGGCTAATTTTATTATAGTTTCTCTGAGTTTGTGGGTAACAAGGAAACCAAATTTGATATGGGTGACAGTGGGAAACTGGGAGTAGATAGATATTGGAAAACGGTAGTCTGATAAGACACTTGGAAACAAACATTTCCTAAACTATGAGCAATAACTTAGTAGTACTGGAGAATGCCTTCCACATGTCAATTTCCTGTTGTTACTGGGCACTGTGGAATGTGGCAATTGTTAGTCTCCACCTAACTCCATAAAGTGAGAGGGGCTAGTTTGTAAGAAGACACTGTTTACCAATTAGCCCTGTCAGATAATTTCTAGTGTTCATGTTCACAAAATCTAAAAATAAAAGTAATCACCAGTCTTACTAGGGTCAATTCCATTTACTCTGCAACCCTCCAACCCCAAAGATGAGATCTCAATATGTGGTCCAGGCTGGCCCAGAACCCTCTATGTATGCCAGAGTGGCCTTGAACTTGCTAGCCCCTTACCTCAGCCTTCAAGTAATAGGATCTCAGGTGTGTGCCATCACATCTGACTATTCCATTCACTACTTTTATGACAGGTATTAAAAGCTGTCAAAAATATATTTCTCTTGAGGTATACAACTCCCTTGGAATTTATGTCAAAATAATCCAAAGGGATAGAATACAGGTCGTGGGGATCAGAATACACAACAGTAGGCATGATCTTATACGACATCTGAATGATATGTATCAGAATTCACTGCACATTTCTTCCCTTGCAAAGGTTGGAGATTTTCCAAATAAAACATGAAAAAAACTGTCCTAATGCCTCACCTCTCAGAGATAGATTTTAATTCCTTTTAAGAGTCTTTAAAATTATATTTTGACATTCTTTATATGTAAATTTTAAATATAAAACAATACTGCACTCAAATCAGTAGAGTTATATATTAAAATAAAAATAGGGCTGGGGAGATAGCTCGGAAGCCTAAGTGCCTGCCTGGCTTTGATCCCTGGTACCACATGTGGTACTGGCCCCATGCAATGCTGGCCACTAAAACTGCGTGTGGTGGCGTACACCTGTAATCCAGAGGATCACTGAGTCTGAGCTGTGTAGTGAGACCCTGTACCAAATAAATGAATAAAGATTAAAAATAATTTTTAAAATAACGCAAAAGTACATTAAAGGATAAACTCTCAGTACTGCTCTCATAAACCTCATTATTAGCTAATCATAAGCACTGACAAGTATATCATTTAAAAGATGAGTGTTTTAATTTTTAAAAACTGTGGATAAACTTGTAAAATATAATTTAGCAAAAGTTTATCAATGTTTAGGAACTGGAAAAAAACTGAAATTTTAATAATGCCTGCAAACTAAGAAAAACTGGCCCACTTTCAAGAAACGAACAGTTACCTTTCTCCTCCCTTTCCTCTGACATTTCTGAACTGGGTTGCTTTTTAAAAAAAAAAAAAACAAAAAACTTTAATTTTGAAAAGCATTTTCTACCATGTCCCTAATGAAGCTTAAAATTAATGTGGTCTTTTCAATATTTTCTTTGTGCACCAGCATGAAACAGTTTAGACCGAGGAAACATCAGTGGTAGAAATAGGACCATATTACAGACAATCATTTCTCTTTTAAGCCTTGAAGCACTGTTTACATGTCCTCAAGACTAATAAAAATATGACTGGCTTAATGCCCTATCTCTACTTACATTGAACCCTCAATGGCCCACAAGTCACTATTATGTTCATTATGTGCTCTTTTTGGCCAAAGATTCAAGAGGAGGCATTCAGAGCTGCACTATTATGACATCAAATACTGCCTTAAAAAGACACAATAGAAAAAGCGGAAATTGCAAATTTATTAAAAATGCTGCTATGCGGCCAAGGAGATAGCTCAGTAGAATAAGCACTTGCCTGGCAAGCAAAAGGCCCTGAGTTCAATTTCCAGTACCACAAAAAAACAAAAACAAAAATGCTGCTATGTAAGATAATGCATTTTTAGTTTAATTTAGCCATTCTACAAACACAAACTTCCAAACATGTTGTACACAGTTTTATCAATTAAAAAAAATTAAAAACATATGTAGATGATCATCTCACAATTTTACACATACCCAAACTAATAAACACAAAAAAGCATTTTTACTACATCTTGCTTCCTAGGCTTTTATTTTTTGGGCTCTGGGAAATGAATTAATGACCTTGTGCATAGATCACATGTATTCTACCACTGAGCTGCACCACTTGCTCAGCTTCCTAGGAAAGATGGAATTAAAAATAACCCAAGAACTATGTGTTAATCAGTCTTGATTCTACTTACTAGCTAACTTAATGAGACACATTACTAAACTCACAGAATTCAAGTTAACAGAAACAAAATTATACAATGAATATTATTTAGTGAGGAGAAAAAGAGACTAGAGAGTTCCATAATAAAGGGGAAAAATGAATGATTTCTTATAAAAACAGAAATGGGTTAACCACGGATTCATTAATGTTCACTTAAATTATCAGGATTGAGTTCAACTCCAATTCTCTTTATTTTCTTGTACTTACCATGACAGGAGGCCCAGATCAGGAGGAGAGATCCCCGTCCCTTCTTCAGTGTCTGACAAGGCTCTTCTTTCTCTTATGCTCAGATCTTTTATTTGAAAAGGGGGGAAAAAAGGGCAAAATTGGCAATAGTTTTCCCCATAATTAGCTAGATTCTAAATAACAGGACTGCATATACATAGACTTAAAAACCTAACAGAAATCAGCCAAGAAAAAGTTGAATATAATCCAGCCAATTCTCACTAGTCAATTCCAAATTTGATGGTTTTGTACAAATCCCTATGGACTTAACCAAGTTCTACCAAAAAAGTAGCAACTCCTTTTTTTTTTTTTTTTTTGGCGGTACCAGGGACTGAACTCAGGACCTTGTGTTTGTCAGGCAGGCACTTATTCTACTGAGCTATCTCCCCAGCTCAAAAATAGCAACTACTAACATTCCTATATGAAAAACATTACAGGCTTTGGATAAAAATAATAAAGCAATAATTAAAATCAATATGCAAATCTAAAAAATATTATTTTTCAGGATATTTGTGATTATGTTATTCAAAACGGATCGCCCTATCAATAGAAAGAAAACTGACTTAGTAATGAACAAACTGCCTGATTTATATTCTACACTCACCAGAAAATTTACAGTATACTATTAGTATCTTTTACATAGATTTTTAAAAACAAAAGGGGGAAGTACCAACTAGAAATGCAAAGTTAGGCTACTGAGACTACTATCTCATCTTTAAAAACTGCTCTTTTCTTTGAGTAACTTAGTTACATGCAAAGTCAACATTTCCAGTTTGCTAGAATTCTACAACAAAGGATATTTTAGGGAGGTAAGCTTCAATTTCAACATAAGCTCTCTAAGAGCAATGCTGAGTAAATGGAATAACGAGTCCCAGATCATATGGAACTGTTGGAAGTTGTTAGAGAAGTGGCATCATTTTATTGTGGTTGTTGGGTGAGTAACAGTCTAGACTGTTGAGATGAGGAGCCAAGAAAGGAGGAGACTAATTTGAAGACTACTGTAATAATCCAAACTATATAATGTTTATAAGGCAGTAGTAACAGAAATGGTAGGATGTTGCAAAACGGCTATCGCTGAAAGTACTGTCCACAAGATTTGAGCTAATGACTTAAGAGTGAGATAAAAGAAGCCAGCTGTGGTAGCACACACAATTGATATCCTAGAAATCCAGAGGGTAAGAGAATTATGAGTTCAAGTCCAGTCTAAACTATACAGCAAGATACACTGCCCCCCCCAAAGAAAAGTGAGCAGAGAAGTCCAACTTTCTGCCCACACAACTGGAAGCCAGGATTTCTCATTTATTGACACCCACTAAGAACAACAGATTCTTACACAGACAGAAGGAGTAACATGAGTAAGAAACCCCCATGTCTGTGATGCCTAGTTAGATATCCAGCAGGAGACACCCAAATACTCAATAAACAAAACTGGAGATCAAGAGAGGAAAGTCAAAGATAAAAATGTGGGAGACATTAGTGTATGGATGGCACAAAAGCCACAACTCAGAAAAAACTATATGTGGAAAGGCTGAGAAGGCCAAAGTCAGGGGCTTAGCATATGCTATTCTTGAGAGGTTGGAAGAATGAAGGAGAACCATATGTTTCAATAATAAGGCAAGTCAGAATCACTCTTACAATTCCTTCAATCTACACCAAGGAAGCTGGGGGTGGTGATGCACATCTGTAATCCCAGCACTCAGGAGGCGGAGGCAGGAGGATCATTGCAAGTTCGAGAACAGTCTGAGCTACAAAGTGAACTCAAAGCCAGACTGAACTAACCCTGTCTCAAAAAAGATACAAAACAACTAACTCAAATCTTTGTGGTCTGACTCAGCTTAATCCAGAATACTATAACATGATTTCATTTATTCATTTGCTCCACAAAATATTTATTCAATATTTATTACATTCCAGGCATTGTCCAGACTTTGGGGAAACAATTGTGAATAAAAAGTCATGACCTTCAATATTATTGCTTATCTTTTCTCAAGAAAAACAAGTGGGGACCTAATGTCAGGAAGTTGGTGCTGCAAAGAAAACAGGCACAGGGGATAGGAAGCAAAAAACGCCATTTTAGAAAGGATTGTAAGGATGTGAAAAGGGGGTCTGTTTAAGAAGACAGGCAAAGAAATAATTTTAGAATACAAACTTATTAGAAGTGGTTAATATAAAGAAATTTTTTAAATTGAAAACATTAAACCTCAACTCTTAAAAAACTGCCCTAATGTTATGCAAAAAAAGTGATTTAGAATAAAATTACTAATGACAGCATCACATACACAAACTTTTATTGTTCTTGTGGAGAGAGTACTGGGAACTGACCCAGGGCCTCATATATCAGCACTCTGCCACTAAACTACTATACAAACCCAGCCCAAATACTGTATCTTAAACAACTTAAACCAAAGGAAATCTGCTATATTTTGCAAAAATTTTCTTAGACAATTCAAAGTGTAAACACAGTAACAAATATCAAAAATATATGTGGAATGTGAAAAAACTGAAAGCTTCACAGTGTTGTTGGGAATGTAAAACAATGAAATTTCTGTAATGTTAGTAGTTCCTTAAAATGTTAGTCACCACATGTAGGCAGGCACAGTGTTACACACTTATAATACAAGCTACTCATAAGGCAGAAGGATTATAAACTCCAGGCCACCCTCAAAATAAAAAGGGTAAGAGACTCTAGACATGGTGGCACACACCTGCAATCCCAGAACTCAGAGGGTGAAGCAGGAAGACTATGCAAGTTTGAGGCCAGCTTTGGCCACATACTGAGTTAAAGGCCAGCTTGAACTATATATTGCCTGGGGAGGGTGGGATCTGGAGATTATAGCTCAGAAGTGTAGTACTTGAGATTCAATCCCTAGTTCAATCCCTACTAACCCCCACTCCCCAAAAGTCACAATATAATCCATCAATTTCCTTTTTGAATATATAAACCAACAAAAGTAAAAGTATGTTCAAAAGTTTCTTCACAAACCTTCACAGGAGCACTATTCTTTAAACCCCAAAAGTGGAAATAACCCTAAAATACATTAATTTATTAAAGAATAACGCAAATGTACATATACAAATATTCAGCAATGAAAAGGAAGGAAAAACTGATACATAGCACAATACAGATGAATGCATAATGCTAAGTGAATGAATTAGGAACCAAAAACAGGCCACAAACTGTAATTGCATTTATATGCAATACCTAGAATTGGTAAATTGTTATGACAGATGTATTCTAATACATGAAGACAAACAAAACACCACTATTTTACAACTGCTAATGAAATACAGAATACATATAATGATCTTCTCTCTACAGAAAAATAATCCCAATTTTTTACATAAACTGCAAGACAAAGACACAGAAGAGAAACCTACAGATTAAGAGACATGTGACCATTTCAACTAACTGCAATATGTGGGTTTTACAATTTAAGTTTTAAGTAAAAAATAAATAAATTAACACCAGACATGTTGGTGCATACCTATAATTCCAGCACTCTGGGCAACTAATGCAGAGATCAAAAGTTCAAACTCAGCCTGAGCAATCTGGTGACTGAGCAAGACCTTTTCTCAAAATACCGTATGAAAAAAGGCGAGGGTATGCAATGTAGTGTAAAGATCCTAGGTTCAATCGGTACTAGTTGATACACTATGTCAATTTGAAAGTTTAAAAGTTTAATTAAGTGACTCAACAGACAGCCAGGATTTTTAGTTTGTAAACATCTTCATCTTGTGAAAGAGGAGGGTATGAACATTGAGTTCTACACCCCCAGCCCCAGGGTAGCTTGTTTATACTATAAGGAGGGGAGAGAGGCTTGCTAGAAGCCGCAGCTGCTGCCCTTCCCTTTGCTCTTTGCTGATTTCTGCTGCCATGAACTGTTGCCCTCTGCCATGTGCCACTCCGCCTGGGAGCCAGCCAAATATAGATTAAAACCTCCACAAACTTGAAATAAATAAACCTTTCCTTTCTTAATTTTGGGTATCAGGTATATTGTCCCAGCAATAAGTAAAAAATAATTGAGACAAATCCCTAGAACTGTGAGAAATCTGAACACATAATGATGGTATAACTATTAGTAATGCTTTACATGATTGACAATATTAATGTGGTAAAATGGTTTTTATGCATGGCTACTGTTTTATTAAAAAATAAGCCACAGATATAAATACAGGTGAAGTAATATACCAAAGAGTAGGTGAAATGAGCACTTTATGAAACAAGATGAGCCATGAGTTGGCAACTTTTGAAGACTGTGAGGAAAGTAAATGAAAGTAATTTATTAGATAATTTTTTTCTATCTCTGAAATATTCACATGAAAAGTTTACCTTACAATTCTACTCAGAAGCTCTGGCTGAGAGGGTCCTTTTGGCATTGTCTTTTTTTTTTTTGGGGGGGGGTACTGGGGACTGAACT